ATAATAATAATATTTATAAAAGTAAATATATTCTTTCGGATTTTTAAATTAATAATAGCTAGTTTATACTTTTTTAAACGATTTCTTTATAAATTAAAATCGTTAAATATAATATTAATAAAATCGAACTACTACTCCTTAAAATATTTTTATATAGTAGTTTTTTTTCGGCTTTATAGGTATAAAAGATCGACCTTAACGGGATTACGCTTTTAAAAAAAATTATATAATACGGTATACTTTTTAATTATATAATATATATAATATACCCTAAGTACGTACTTAACGTAATATAATAATTTTAATATAAAAACCGCAATATAATTTAGGATAAGTAAGCTATTTTATTATTTATTAATAATAAGCTAAGTAATATATTTATATAATAGCGCTAGCTAAAAAAGTTAATAATAAAAGTCGGCCGTAAAGGTTAAAAGCGGCCTTTAATTATAGAGGTTCTAAACTTTAATAACAATATAAAAGTTTTTTAAAAAAGGGATAAAAGGGCTAATATTTAATAGAGCTCGTAAAGATTTTTTTTATCCTTATTATTTTTAATATTACCTAAAGCTACTTTTTATTTAAACTAAATAAATTTATTAAATAAACTTATTAAACGAACTTATTAATATATAAACTATTATTTTAAAAATACCCCTTAATAAGTCCCCCTCTCTAAGGTTTAATAGATTCTTAAGCCCCCTCGATACCCTAGTTATTATAATTAATATAAATATGCTTAAGGAGTAGTATAATACTTTTTAATAATATAAAATTTAACTAAATAATAATATAAATACTATAAATAACTAAGTTAATATAGATATTAAGATTTAATATATCGATATTAGTTTAAAAATTATATTTTATAGAGTTAAAAGTCCTTTTAATACGGCCTATATTATAAATATAAGGGAATATATAAGGGGCCCCCTAATTCTTAATAAAAAAGAGTATATAATATAAGATCTAACTACTTATATAAGCTAGTACTAAGAGGTTTTATATATATTAAAATAAGTATAGCTCGCTCTTTAAATAGGTAACGAAAAGTCGGGAGCTATTAATAAAAAAGAGATAATAATCGAGTTAGTTAACTACTATTTTAATTAATAATTAGGTATAAAGTATAATAAACTTAGTTTTCTTTAATACGTAATATATAATATAGCCCCGGCAGATTACTTAGTTAGGGGGAAAATATTTTTATAAGTTAACGAGTTAGCGTTTTAATATTTTAAATATTTTTAAAATAAATAGTTTAATAATAATAATAATAATAGTAATAATAATAATAATAATAATAATAATAATAATAAATAGTAAGGGAAGTAACGTTTTTCGATTTTAATAAAAGAAACGAGGTAATAAATATATATATATATATATATACGAGTTAAAGTTAAAACCGTTAGGGTAAATGTTAATTATAAGACTTATAAAGGTCGGTATTATTTTTAATAATAATAACGAGGGTATTTTTAATATTATATTATTATAAGTTATTATTATTTAGAGGGGTAATAAGCTTAGTTAAGTACGTAATAAGCTTATAAAATAATAATATCGGGCGCTTAGTATTATTATTAATATAGTAGTTTTTTTTTATCTAGCTTTATAAGTATAAAAGATCGACCTTAACGGGATTACGTTTTTAAAAGAAATTATATAATATAATATACTTTTTAACTATATAATACGCATAATATATCCTAAGTACGTGCTTAACATAATATAATAATTTTAATACGAAAACTACTATTTAATTTAGGATAAGTAAGCTATTTTTTACGTAGTGGCGCTAGTTAGAAAGGTTAATAATAAAGGTTAGCTATAATAATTAGCTATAATAATTAGTTATAATAATTAATTATAATAGTTAGAGGCGGCCCTTAACTATAGAGGTTCTAAACTTTAATAATAATATAGAGGTTTTTAAAAAAAGGACTAAATAGGCTAATATTTATTACTCTTTATATTAAAGCTTATAAAAATTCTTTTTATCCTTATTATTTTTAATATTACCTAAAGCTATTCTCTATTTAAACTAAATAAATTTATTAAATAAATTTACTAAATAAATTTACTAAATAAATTTATTAAATAAACTTATTAAATAAATTTACTAAATAAATTTACTAAATAAATTTATTAAATAAACTTATTAATATATAAACTATTACCTTAATAAGAACCTATTCTCTTAGTATATAGTTAGTAATTAATAAGCTAAATTTTTTTAAAAATGCCCATTAATAAGTCTATTCCTCTCGGACTAAGTACTTTCTTTAGCTAGCTTAATACTATAGCTATTATAACTAATATAAATATACTTAAAAAGTAATAAAATATTTTTTAATAGTACGGAATTTAGTTAAGTAATATTATAAGTACTATAAATAGCTAGGCTAATATAAATATTAAGATCTAATATATTAATATTAACTTAGTTATAATAATTATAATAAACGGGCCGGAGGTATATAGGGTTAAAGTAATAAATTAATACTTTAAATAGCTCTTATAAAACCCCTTGAGTAATAATAATACTTATATAAAAAATAAATTATATTAAACTTAGCTACTTATATAAGCTAGTACTAAGAGGTTTTATACGTATTAAAATAAATAAAACTCGCTTTATAAATAGTTAGAACTTAGGAGGACTATAATAGAAAGTTAAGAGTTAATAAAAGGAAAATAATAATTAAGTCGGTTAACTACTATTTTAGTTAGTAATTAAGTATAGAGCGTATTATACCTAGTTTTCCTTAATACGTAATACACAGTACGGCCCCGGCAGATTACTCCGTCGGGGGGGTATTATTATTAATAATTTTAAACTTTATAAAAAAAAAAGTTAAAAAAATAGAAAATCTAAAAAAAATAGTCTATAAAAATAATAAAAGTATTTACTAATATTATATATTAATACTATATAATTAATATTAAGAACTGCCCGAGTAACTAATAAAAACAGAATACAAAATTAAAACTAGCTTATTTATAAAAATAAAAATAGCCCTTAATAAGGCAGGCCGGACTTTAAAAAGTTATTAATATTATATATTAATATTATATGTTAATATTATATATTAATATTATATATTAATATTAAGCTATTAATTCGTAATTATAAACTTTATAAAAAGGAAAGTTTAAAAAAATAGAAAATCTTAAAAAAAAATAGTCTAACGAGATAATAAGAATATTCATTAATATTATATATTAATACTTTATAACTTATATTAAGAATCGCCCGAGTAGTTAGTAAAAGTAGAAATAAAAAATAAATATTAATATTAATAAAAACTACTTGTATAGTTAATAAAAATAATATATAAATATAATTAATAAATAAAATACTTATAGTTTATAAGTTAGCTTTGTTAATTTAGTAGTTTAAATTATGTTTTTAGTACTCCGAACTAATTAAATAGCCGAGCCCGCCCTTTCGGTACTATAGAAACCGGCGCACGCACTGGCCGAAGTGTGGCTGAAAGTCTGCGCGAGGTTAGCAATGAGAGTAAAAATTGTGGCTGTGCTAAGAAGTTTCCAAGCGTAAAAGCCCGCCACTCAGACTAGACTGCTCATCAAGTTCTCATTCTCTTCTTCAAAACCCCTGCGCACTCCGTCAATCAGCAAACTTGATAACGCTGTGTCCACTTATGAACCTCTTGCATAAACGGGCTGCGTTTGATTTGAACTTCATACGGTGCCTGACATCTGATTAAAATTTACCCAGCAGCCTAACGAGGTCGTAACTCCAGACCTAAGCGGCAACGAACATGGTGGCGACAATGCGAATCCGATCAAGCATTGCCTGCGTGAGGTGCAGGCGATCCAAGATTAAATGCGACAACACTGGCCAGCTGGATTCTCCCTGCGAGAACTGCAAGAGGAACGGTAGCAATTGTTCCTGGCCCATTCCAGCTCCGTTGCCACCTAAAAGGCCCATGTCCCCGCTTGACGATAAGCAAGATGCAAGCGTTACAGGCTCTGGGCGGGAGAAACGACCACGAAGGGCTCGCATGGCCAAGGCGCCAAAAAGTAATTGCCACGAGGTTCTACAGGCTATTCGGTGCGTCGACCGAGGGTTGTGGGATAAGATACTGGCTACTTTCCAACAGCATTTTGCCGTTGAACTCCCCTTCATTCACGCACCGACAATCAAAAGGACAATTTATGACTTAACCACTGGGCAAGACCAAGTATCTTTTGATACTTGTCTGGTTCTTCTCGGGATCCTGGCATTGGCAGGGAGATATCACCCAGACCTATTGCCCCTCACAGAGCCCGTGTTAGACGTCGGACCCGACTCCCGCAACTACGATAACACACCTCATGACCAACCGGAAGGTCACGCTCCTTATGACTCATTTGCGAGGCTGTTGGACAATTCGCTTGGCTCTTTCCTCAAGGCAACATCTGTTGGATCGGTTGAGCGCGTCCAGGCCCTGCTTATGCTTGCACTTTATGAGTGGATCTCGCCAGATCACGAAGGCCTTTCAGCCTGGATGCTCATTGGAGCAGCGGGACGCATGGCGCAAGCACTCAGGCTCGGACACGAAAGCAAGCCAATTACTACATGCGAAGAGGCAACCTGCGAACGAGAGATCAGACGCAGAACGATGTTCAGTTGTTTTATTTTCGATCGTCTCATTTCCTGCGGCAAGGAGAGACCCTTCTTCATACGTTTCGAAGATATGCACGTTTATTTGCCCTGTGCCAAAGAAGATTTTGATTTGAGCCGTCAAAATCAACAACCGTTTCTCTCCAGCAATCTGTCCGAACCTGAGGCGCTCCATGATTGCAGTCTTCTCGGTTGTTTTGTGCAACTGACAAACATATGGGGTCGAATTTCCCAGTACACGAACGCGGGAGGTCGTTTTTTAGAGAAAAGCGTCCCGCCATGGAGTCATGATTCTTCGTTCTATAAATTGCGGCGAGAACTGGAGACTTTTGGCCACGGGCTCGATAGCCCGGGACTGTATCTAACGATGAGCACTGTTAACTACTTCCGTCACGAGAACACTTCGAGCACTTTCGTCCTCTTGCACCTCCTGTATTCCCTCTGTACGATCATGATCCATCGCCAGTACCTTCCATTCGTTCCCATCAACTGCCAAAAGCCGAGCGGTCCACTAGACGAGCCAACATTTCCGCAAAACGCGGTCCCATTTGGATTCTGGGAGGAGAGTGCCAGCGAAGTGTTCAGAGCAGCAGAGACTGTTGTTTCTTTGATCCGCTTGTCAGGTGGAAGTCTTCCACACTCGCCTCTCGTCGCGTTTGTCATCTATACAGCATCATTTGTGGCAATTTATGCTAAATACTTTCCACACATGGATGCCCGGGGCTCGTTGTCCCGCAATCTAGAACTGTTCAGCCAGGATCCCGGGACTCCGTCGAGTAATGTGTGTAGCAGTAACACCGCCATCATGCTTGACGCCCTGAAGAACATGGCAAAGAATTCAGGAGTGGCAGCAGCATTCGTCGCAAGATCTGGTGAAGTAGATCAATACTTTTCAGCCATGGTCCAGGATCACCATCATAATCTCAGGCACCGTACTTCACCTCAACTGCCCACGGGCGTGAGGCTTGGTGTCCGCATGGGAGGTGATACTGGAGGCCTGGAAGAATGGGTGGAAAATTCCGACAGAATGGTCAGCAATAGCTCAATCATGAAGGACGGTTATTCTAAACGAGATCTCGACCGGACGCGCCTCGAGAATCCGACTCTCGAGAAAACCACACAACAGGATGTTTCCGCCCGGCCCAGCTTGCCTACCACGCTACTCGAAATATCTCCTCTCACGGCCTCAGACTCACGAAATCAACAATCTACACTGGCCACTGAGAAAGCGTCAGGCGCCGAGGATCACATGCAGCCTCCGCCATTGAGTTTGGTACCCACACAGGTTACGAGCGAGGACCAATCCGTTTTACCGGAAAGTACATGCGCCGACGACTGGAGCTGGGCCTTCCTTCACGACATGTACCTAGGGAGTGTTTCGTTCGATTCGGAGGATATTTAGCTTAGCTCAAGTTTATTACATGGAGCATTCGGAGCACGTCCCGGAATACATATGACGGGAGTTTACAGACAACTATATGCCCCGGGACCATCAACAAGTACTTAGTTAGCTTTTCATCACAGTGAATTTGTAGAAGATGAAGGGTCAAAATCGTGAGCACGCCTCCAATCCTGTGCATGACTGTCACGCCGCCCATATCAACCACATGATGGAAAAGTCGTAAGCTATCAAGATTAACATGATTCCGAGGTCAACGCCAGGCTTTCTATACTGTTTCTGCTACCAATAAATGCAGGTGGATTATTTCGTCAATCCTCAACAAACTTCAATCCAAACTACTTGGCCTTTCCGCAACAGCTGTTGGAGTTCTTGGAGTGCCGCAATACTGATTGTGGCGTTGACACTATGCATGGAATATAGGTCATTGGAAGTTGCTACGTCAGGGTGGTATAACACCAGCAAGCGATGGCAATGATTGTACACACAACCTAAATCGTTCAGCGACCGCGCACTATTATTCATCTGTGAGGTACACTTAATACATGCAAAGCACCTTCGAGTTAGGTTGATTCTCCATCCCGCAGATAATTTCCCACGACGAGAATTGATAGGACGAGAAGAGCTATCATTAGTGTCCGACAGTTGAGATCCATGGGGTTCTTCAGAGCCCGTTCAACCAAAAAGACCGTGGCCCGTTGAGGAGAGCCGCATGGATGGAAGGAGCCAGGCAATGATAGAGTGTAACGTGATGACCTCATGTCTATGTAGTTGTCAATCATGTACTATGATTCGTGAACGTCCTGCGCGAGCGTTATTCCTCATCCTAAGCTTTATCAATGGCTGTCAAATGCTTCGCTACTTTCTCCACCAGAGGGAGCAGTTTGAGTCCTGAGGATTGGTCCGGAACACTGCCATGAACGACGTGTTCAATGGCTCGGACCAGGAAGATAAGAAGAAGCGTCACTAGTACCATGATATGAATAGGACGATTATAGATCCAGTCAAGGTGAACTTGGGCTTCTCCATATCCCCTTTACGGTCAGCGTCGCGTTGCTCATCTGTCTCAATGACCTCATCGAAGATGCTGCTATGGCTGTTGGCCTGATACCAGACGTAACGTATTTGGTTTTTTATTATTTTATGCACTACGTGCGTAAAAAAAGCTCACCCTGTTTATTCATATTTCTATATATGATTCCCCTTTGATGGTGTATACTAGTATATACATATCTCGTAAAGTTAAAAAGCATGATAGGACCCTGTAATACGCGCAGAGCTTCTGCTGGTAAAGGCACCCCTATAGGACGTCCAGCCGTACCACCAGCCACATATCCTGAAACGTTGTTAGCAAAGTGGTAGTAGGCGGGCGGGCCGCCATGAGAAGATGGCTACGCTTTTGCTAGTAATAGCTCCCGGTAAATCACTGTAATCGCCAGAGGCTCAGACGTGAAGTATAAAGGCAACAATGAGAGCAATCGAGATTGCCTGACTAATGCGGAGGACATCGGCTTGAAGAGTGCCCTCGGTGAAATTCTCGTGGCTCACCTAGATCCCAGGGAGGTTGGAAATTGTCTCGGACTTGAGGGCAGAGTATAAGGTACTTGGGATCAAGAGTCCGAAGGCAGCAACTAAAAGTAGTCCATTGCCGAACTCGGACACAATGGCATGAAACTTTTGGCATTCATGGCGGACCCCCTCTGAGTAAAAAAAAAAAGCACGAACGAAGGCAAAGTAATAAGTTCGTCAAGATGCTCCCGAGAATCGGGGCTTGGATGACAGGGATGAGATTGTTTTCATCGCTGCTCTCTCGAGGGACGGATGTCTCGTGCTTCAGAATGGGCACAATGAACGGAATTATCTCGACAAGGAATCCAAACGTCGTCTCGTTCAATAGACCAGCTACCTGGGACATCTTCCAGGCAAAATCTTGTCCGGCAAACCCAAGGATACTCGCTAACAGCACGACAGCTACATCATAGGCAGTGGCAAACTTGGAAAGTTGCAAACCAGGCAAGAACTGCAACACAAAGGCAATCGATAAAAGAGTCCAGAATACGTTGACCAACATTGAGCCAGTACATGACCTTTGCCAAATCACATAAGGTAGAGGAAGTGGCGGATATGAAACCCGCTGGGTCCATTTTCGCCCTCATGTGCAATGCATCCTGAGATTGAGTGATGTGCGACACGAAACGCATTCGTTGAGAGAAGCGGGGTTGATTCGTGGTTGTGCTCCACGATACCTTGAGCAGGCAATGGCGAAGAACTGATTTTGTGATCGCCCGCCATCTGTGGGAGGGAATTCCCAGAGGCCCGGTCGAGTTTTGTAAAAACGAACAGCGAGGAGCAGAGGATTAGGTGTTGATTGTAGGAGATGCTCGGAGCTGTAGTTAAGATACAGACAAAAAGGAGAAGAACAAGAAGGGATGTCACGAAGCAATCTTGCTCACAACTCTTGCTTGTTATACACTGCCATGGGCCGCTAGTGTGTGACTAGTATCCATTCTTTCAAAAGCGGCGAAGGTGTCCTTCTGTGTTGATGTGACATGGATAGTTCATGAGTGTTGTGATGTACAAGAAGGCATTGGATTCCTTCTTTACGGACCTGGACTTCCGTGAAGGCTCGACAGCAGATGGCTATATTATCGGATGAAGCAAATAGCTATCCCCTGATATTGCTGAGAACCTACTGTGTAGTTGCCAGAAAAGAAAGTCAATTGATATGATGGGGCTATCCAAGGTACACTACCGCTATATCTGAAGCTAATAGCGTTCTGCATCGCAGCTGCGTTCCATACATTCATTACTGAGGCAACGTACTTAATTGTTCGGTGGCCTCAGTTCGGTCTACAATCGCAAGTGGCACAGGCTATCTCTCCTGAAATGCTACTTATCCACAGGTAGCGCCGTCCTGTTCCTACCCCTTCGGCATCGTCTACTTATTCATTGATATCGAGTCAAGCAAATTGGTCGATTGTTTCGACACATTTGACACTTGACGGTTCCTTCGATCTAAGCCCTCCATCGCTCTTGAAAAAACGTAACACGAGGAGAGGAAAGGCAGAAACATATAGCTTCTGGCCTTGCTCGCTCAGACCGTGGTGTAGCCAAATACATTGTGAGTTGAGTATTCATTGTCGTGCCAGTCGCGTTATGCATCGTACATGTAGAGTTGACAGGCCCTCACGAGAAAGGTTCATCACGACTGGACCCAAAGTCATTAGCAAAGACCATGCGTGACACACCTAATGCCCGAGCGTTCACTTTGTTACCTTTGATCCCCTAGGTATACAGCAGAACCAGCTTGAAGAGCGGGTGCTTACGTATGGTCAAACAGGAGCCGGCGAATTTTGATAGTCTTTGCAGTGTTGCACTGACTTGAGAGCCGAGCGCCGCTCTCTGACCCCACCTAGACGCCCGCAAGCCAGGATTCTGGCCCGTCCGTCGTCTCCCCGCAAGTCCAACTGCCATAGAGCAGAAAGTCTCCCTTCCCCGCGACCATTTTGCAGCCAGATACGCCAAGATGTTCTGCCTCACTGTGCCACACAGAGACAGGGTAGGTAGGCTTCTCGTAACTCTGATAAGGCGACAAGATGTCACTAGATGAACCAGGAAGCAGTCACCTTTCAGCCTCCACGAGTTGACACCTATCAGCGAATCATACACTGCTTCGAACGTTTAGGCTTCTTCTCCATGTTTCTAATAACAGACATGAATGTTTTCGTTTTACGCTCGAAACCTTAAATGGAACCAGGGAAGTGTTGCAGTGGCGGCTACACGCGGAATGTCTTCTGTCAACATCAGACGATGTTTGATGAGGAGACAGACGCGAAACTCTGAACGGAGTCTGACCTTGTGACAGAGTGTCCCGCCTCCTGCTGTTATATTTCTTTCATCTCCATCCCAGGTGAAGTGGCGAGATTGTTCCCATCGTTCTCTAAACTTCCCTCTGGCCCAGACACAGCTGCGCCCTCAATACTTGGCTCATACAGGTATCTCACCATACCGTCACTGGCAAGTAGTAATTTTATTAAGCAGCTCTGGCTGCTTTCTGTTCGTCGCATCGATTGCTGACTCACCTCCCAGAGGCCATCCAGAAGCCACACAACCACGAGACGATTGTCACGTTCGTTTGATTCAACACTGCAAGATGTCAGAAAGTCCTACCACTGCTTCGCGCAACCAAAGAGATCCTGGTAGTCCGACTATCACGGGCATCCCGTCCATTTTGACAGTTCTTCGCGAGCCTGAATCCTTCTCGACGATCGACGACAGGCGAGGGCAACAGTACCGCCAACAATCTCCAGAGACTGCCTCGAAGCTAGCGCGCGAGACTCTCATCAGTATGTGTAAGACAATTGGTCTGGTCGGCGCACAGCTTAATAATGGGACGAATGACTCCGACTTCCAGCTCAGGCAGCTCATTCACTTGGCACGCAACATAACCAAGCGGCTTGACAGTCCTGAGCTAAACGGGCAGAACGGACACGCCGGCTCCCCTCGTTTGGACTAGATAAGAAATTCTCTGGGTGTCAGAACACGGCGAAATAGCTCGTTCGCAAGATGGAAAGCCGTCAAACTGAAAGGATCGCAGCGTTTCCGGAAGGCTTGCAGTTAAATTCATGGCACAGTCTGAGGAGAAGAGTTGCGAACTGAAAAGAGGGGGGGGGGGGGATCATATGGAAGCATGGGGCTCCAAAGAAGAAACGACATTATATCTACATTTTCAGACCTTGACAATTTTTGCCTCGACAGATTGAACGATAGTAAGTCGCACAGCCGTGATCAATTCCCGCTGACGTCTCATTGAGATATTGAGTGCTCCCACGTATTGATTTCGACTCGCGTACAGGGTTAGCCAACTTAGTGAAAGTAGACTCGAACTCATTGCCTCGATATTCAATTCTACAGCTCGGCGGCTTGTTCTTTCAGAGACTTGCTTCGCTCAGCCTCAATAACTTGGCAATCGAAGACTTTAGCAATACCCTAGAATGCAGGACAATACGTTGCTATAACGGAGACAAGAGTTTAGCGTCGTTGTTTACGTAGCATCAGCCAACGTGAGTCGAAGAGGAGTGTAATGTCTTCAGTGCCTTGCGAAGCTTACCTATGCGGCGTTAGGTTCGTGGAACAATGTCATCAAGTAAGCTGCGTCGCTAATACGCTTTGCGTGACTATTAAGAAGTGCGTAAATTTAGTATGGATCGTAACCTCCTTCTACTTGAGCTGTAACATCTGCTACATAACTAAAGTTGCCATTCTCTGCATTTGAAGAATTAGTGCATCCAGCCAACATCTTGAGCTCTCGAACCTGTTGACGTACGCGAGGTCTTCGAGTCTTGAAGAGGCCTATGGTATTTGATCTCGAAAGTATGGCTCAATGCATTGAATCCATATCCATCAGAAGAATACTTTGATGCCATCTCCTTTACAATATTGACATTCGGACTGGCAGAGCTGTAGATACTTTATATAACCTCTGGCTCTTTGATCTTGTAACAGATATTTTGTTCTACTCCAGAGTGTTTATCTCTCAAGCTTCTGGTAGATATAGATAGATGACGAGGAAAGTTCACTAACGTGTGGGGAGCGTACTCCGACAAGGTGTACCTTGGGATGCTCCAGTACCTCTTTTGAAATACCAAGAACGTCATTGGTCATTATTTGGCATCATAGTCCAAGCCTTTGGATTGAATATGCATCTAAAAATTCACGGTAGCCCATCCCTTCAGTGGTGTTTCAAAGTTTCCATTCATATAGGTCTTGGAAATTGAAAGCCACTTGAATTGATTGGTCCAATCTGATTTCTGCTTTGTTTTCGAATATCCAGAAGACCTGTTATCTAGAAACCTCGGTCTTTGCATGGTAGTTGCTCTGGTAAAGGGGCGGCATGTTTAATACGATAAGTATGCTGGCCATCCTACGTACATTTTCACTTGAGCGCAAGTAAACTAGCTTAGCAGGTGCAATAACAGAGAGCTGGGATTAGCTTACAGCATTTACTTCAACCCTGTTGTTCTACGGTTTGAATGGTGCCCTATTGCTTGACGATTCTCGTGGATACTGTGTGTCTAAGAATGCTCAGGAGCCGTTGTAGACTTCCATTGTAGTCTTGACTCTTTTCTGACCAGACTTTCTCGACTACCAAATAGTGATGAGGTTCTTATACCCAGAGCTCAGTCATTTCGTGTGTGTAGCAGACTACTTTTCACAAGAGGAGCGGGCTGTCAATACAACTTGCATGTTCCACCGCCAGCGTGGATGCTGCCCATCCTGCTCGCCTAAGAGCCTGAGCTGCAAAGATGTGGTTGCCTGGAAGATGGAGATGAAAAACATGTAAATATCAATCATAAGCATGTGTCTAGTCTATCCATTGGGTGTTGGCATGCACGTGGGCATACACGCGGCCATAGGATGCAAGTATGACGTTGCTAGAGAATAATGCTGTCAAAGCGGGCTTCATATTGAAACGCAGAATATCGAAAGGAGATAAGATTTATGCATCATGCAGGAACGAATAAAGTGAGGCGAAGAGTCAAAGCAAATGGAAAAGACGAGAACGACGCTACGCCGTCGAAGCTGAAAGCTTTGACGTTCGCTCAGCCACTCACCGTTTATCTCAGTAGGACTTTTCAGCGCTGAGGTTTAATTGAGGACGAAACAAGTATAGAAACAAACGCTTCTCGGCAACGTAGATGTAACTAAGCATGGCCGAACAATGGCTCGTGTGTCCATAATCATCTGGGGCCGCTGTCATGGCTTGACTACATCTAGGAGAAAGTTAAGAGGAAGTAGGGACTTCCTTGCTTTTTTCTTATAATCGCCCCTCCCCCTTTCAGCCCCCCCCAATTTAGCCCCTCCTTAATATCTTCCTAATTACCTTATTATAATCTAATTTATAATATATAAAGTATTATATTAAATATCTATTTCGATAGTATATATATATATATAAATTAATACTATATATAAATGTTATATATTTATATTAAGAACTGCTTAAGTAATTTATAAAATAAAATTTAAAAGTAAGTAAAATTTATATATAATACTAATTCTTTAGGGTCT